CTTTTTATAGAAAGCAAAATTGAGATCTTTAGCTGGGCATGGTGGCACATGCTTGTACTCCTAGCACTTTGGAGGATGAAGCAGGAGGATCAACATGAGTTTGAGGCCTACCTGGGCTATATAAGGGAATTCAAGCCCAGAATGCACTACATAGGAAGTCTCAAAAGCACAAAATACAAAAAAACTACAACTGTTACAATTTATATCTAGATGACCCAACCCCAAAGTCTCATGCAGTCATGGAAGCAGGATTCTAGAATTTGATTAAATCATGGTCTAAAACTGTGATATGGGTGTAAGTGCTACACCCACCCTAGGGTGAGTGTGGCCTACATACAATAAAGGGACAGAAAGTCCTCTCTATGTGCTCTTCCTTCTTTGCTGTTTCTAATTTTGCTACCTTCTGGTTTCCCTCTACCATCAGCCATTGTCTTGGAGGCAGTCAAGTATAGACTGAAACTGAAACTCCACAAACTGTAAGCTAAATAAAACTTTCTTTCCCTAATTTGGGGTATTGGGTATTTTGTCACAGCAATGAAAGAAAAATAACTAATACAGAATTTGGTACCAAAGAAGTGGGGTTGTTGCTGTGACTATACCTGACCATGTGGTTCAAGAGCCTTTGGAAATAACTTACAGGAAAAATTTGGAAAGGTTCTGAGAAGTCACTTGAAAGAGTAGAGCTGGACCGGCTTATGCTGTTCTGTATGGGAGATTCTGGTCAAAGCTCAGAAGACAAGAAAGCTGACAGAAATTCTGTCAGTAAAGTTCAGGCTGGGGAGGTTTCTCGTGGGAAGGACTGCATTGGTTGCTGGACTCTACACAATGTGTATTATGGCTTAGCAAAAAGTTTGTCTGCATTTTGCTCATGTCCAGTGACTTTGCCTGAGACCAAGATTAAGGGCAGCAGACTAATTAAACCAGCAGAAAAAAGCTCAAGGCAGTTGAATGTTTAGGTGGAGGCGTGGCTACTATTGGGGCTTTTAGCCAGATTTATGTTGAGAATCAAGAGCAGAGTCAGCCAAATGTTTTAAAATGTGAGTTTGGTCAGAAAGGAAGCTCCAGTAAAGCTGTGAACTGCAAAACCTTTTGGAGCTCATAATTTGCCATAGATTGTTTTGGAGGGCTTAATGCTTGCCTTGCTGGAGTTTAAACTCGCTTTGGTCACAATCTTTTGTATCCCCATTTGTACCTTTTGGAATGGTAATGCCTATCTTGTGCCACTGAAGGTTGCAAGTATTTAACTTTGTTTTCATTTAAATAGGGACTCACCGATAAGTTTGCCTTAAATCAATGCTGAAACTGTTAGGATTTGGCAACTCTTGAAGATGGACTAAATGCCTTTTGCATAAAGGTTGCGTATAATTCTTTGGGGGGCTAGTGGAGGAATGTTAAGGTTTGTTTCTACATGTTCTCCTAAAATCTCATCCAGTCATGGGGGCAAACTTCTAGAATTTGTGATTAACTCATGGTCTAAAACTGGGATATGGGTGTGAGTGCTATACCTACCATAAGGTGGATATGGCCTATATACAATTTAAGGGACAGAGTTGTTTCCCTGCTCCTCTCTTTTTACTCTTAGTGTCTGATGCCATAAACCGTTAACTCTAGGCCATGACACCCTTCCTTAGAGACAACTAATTATGTACTGAAACTTCCACAAACTGTAGCTAAATAAACTTTTCCTTCCTTAACTTTGGGTGTCAGATTTTTTGTTCCAGCAATGAGGAAAAAAAAAAATCAACACAAAAAGTGAGATCTTGGGCCACTCAGCAGCAGAAGTACCTGCCTGACAAGTGAGAGGTCCCAGAACAAACAGAACAAAAGAAAACAACACCCTGAGATCTTTATACATACGTATCTTGCTCTATGTTTTCCTACCTCTAAATATACTAGCTTTTTGTTTGCTTTTGTAATGCAAACCCAGAACCTCAGACATTGTTATGGTTCACCTCTGGATGTCCCTTCAAAGCCTCAATGTGGTCATGGGAGAGGCAGATCTTTCAAAAGTGGCTGAATCTAGCATTTGTGCTAGGTTTGTTGTCTAGCGCTGGGACTGGCAATGTGAGCACTGTACCTGCTCAGGAGCAGATAGCTGGCATACAAAATAAGGGAGAGAAGGATGCGTGCTTTCCCTTTTTGGCTCTTGTCGCCTCTGGTACCTGCCGTTGTCATGAACGGTTGCCCTTATGCCGTGCCACCCTGCCTTGGAGTCAGCTGAGTATGGACTGAAAACTCCAAAAACCGTAAGCTAAATAAACCTTGCTTCCTTAATTTTGGGCATCAAGTATCTTGTCTTAGCAACAAGAGAAAAGTAACCAAGACACATACGCTAGGCAAGCACTCTTCCACTGATCTCTGTTTTGATCCTAGTAATAGTTTTTGAGTCTTGAGAATGCACAGACACCATTATATGACTTTACATATATTGCATCATCTTCTATAAAGTATTTTGTACTAATATATTTTCCTTATTTTTTTCTTTTTATCTTTTCTTGTTTTTATTTACTTATTTTGGTTTGAGACAGGCTCTCAACTGTGAAGTTCAGGCTGGCCTTGAACTCACTATGTAGCTCAGGCTGGCCTCAAACTCATGGCAATCCTGTGGCCTCAGCCTTCTGAGAGCTGGGATTATAGACATATGCCACCATATTACATTTTTTAAAAAGGCTTTATTTTAATCTATTTTAGAGGCATATCATAATTTACTTTATCATACCTTTATTATTGGACATTTTAAGTTCTAATTTTTAATAACTATGACTGTTAGTAAATAATACTAAATAACTATTAAATAATAATTATTAAATAATAAGTATGATTGTTACATATAGTAGGAGGCTGAGGCAGGTGGATCACTGGGAGTTCAAGGCCAGCCTGGGCTACAAAGTGAGTTCAAGGCTGGCCTGAACTGCACAGAGAAAATCTGTCTCAAAAAGACAAAAAACAAACAAACAAAAAATCATATAGTAAAAAACAGAAATCCATTTAAATAGGAAAATTATAAATTAAGTTGTAGTACAGATAATAAAACATAATGATATCATTAAAAATCATCAATGGGGGCCAGGGATTTAGTTCAGTGGTGTAGCACCTTCCTGGCAAGCCTAAGGTTCTGAATCCAATTCCCAGTATATATAAAAAAAAAAAAAAAAAAATCAATGGTAAAGCTATTGAGTACATCTGAAAACATATAGGGCTGAAGATTGTAGTTTAGCAGTATAGAATTGGCCTATTGTTATGGCTTATATCTAGATATCTCCTCCAAGCCTCATACAGTCATAGGTAGAGCATTTCAAAGGTGGGTAGATTAAGGGTTGTGAATGAGGATTAAGGACGAGATACTGCAATTAAGAATGGGGATAACAGAAGCCCCACCCTGGGTATGGATGGTACCAATGAATAGCTTGATAGCCTGGATGGAATATAAAGGGACAAAAAGGTTGATCATGGTGGCACATGGCTGTAGCCCTAGTACTCAGGAGGTAAGGCAGGATCATTGTGAGTTCATTTGAGGTCAGCCTGAGCTACATAATGAGTTCAAGGCATGAGACCCTATCTCATTGAAAAATTCATTGAGACCCTATCTCAAAGAAAAAAAAAGGCACAGAAAGGAAGGCTTCTGCTCCTGCCTGCTGCTCCTGCCTGCATTGCTATGGGCTGTTTCTCCTCTCCCATGCTGCCCTGCCTTGTAACTAGTTGACTATGAACTGAAATCTCTATAAACTGTGAGGTAAGTAAACTTTTCCTCCCTTAACTTGTGGGTAGTGGGCATTTTGTCCCAGCAGTTTAACTAAGACAACTACTATTCACAATCCTAGCAACAAACACACACAAACTTGGACTACTTATGAAGAAAAAAACAAGAAAAATTACAGAACAAACTCCTTACAACAGTCTGGGTTGAACAATGCAACATATCAGTAAGGTGATTTCTACATGGTGAAAATTCTGGATGGTCTTTTCTTCTACAATGAATATATTCTCAATGAAATTACATTCTTTTAAAAAAAGGGAAAAAAACAAGCTTTACTTCCTATGTGTTATGATTTATATCTAGATGTTCTGCAAGATCCTGTGATTTCATAGTTCAAAGAATTTTGGAAAATGGAGTTTAGAAAAATACTGGACCACGAAGACATAATAGCTGATCTGATATTAGGAGGCAGAATGGGAAAGGAGGTGGGAGGTCCATGTGTGAAAGAGTTGGAAAGCTGTTATCTCTTTTCCTAGTTCTTCCCTTCTTTCTCTGCTTCCCAGCTGCTCTGACATGAACAGCTTTCCTCCACCCAGATCCTTCCACCATCCAGTGTCTATGATTTCAGCCAGACAAACATGGACTGAAACATCTGAAGCATAAACCAAAATAAACCTCTCTTTGTTTAATTTGTTGGTGTCAGGTATTGTGTACCAGAGGAAAATGACTATATATAAGAAATAAAATGACTATGTATAAGAAATAAAATAGCTAAGAAATAAAACTATACATGATAATATTAAAATTTTAAATCAGGCATGGTGGCACATGCCTATAATCCCAGCACTCTGAGAAACTGAGGCAAGAAGATCTCAAATTTAAGTTCAGTATGGGCAATTTAGTGAGACCAAAACAAAAAAGAGGTGTAGATATAGCTCAAATGTAAAAGACCTGGGTTCAACCCCCAGTACCACAAAGAAATTAAAACAAAAACAAAACGTTTTAAGCTCATTCAGGGATGGAGATAAAGCTCAGTGATATAGCACCTGCCTGGCAAGCACAAGGTCTTGAGTTTGATTTCTGGTACCACCCCCAAAAGCTGATTCACACAAATGTAAAAACTATAAAGTTCTCTCCCCTAAGTAATTTTCATATATGAAACTGACTTCATGACATTGATATTACAATAAAGATTCCTATATAAAATACACCAAGGTAACACAAAGAGTATTTTTCCAATCACAAATCTTATAATAATTACAACTATTTTCTGTTGGCATCTTTATCTCTTCAAGATACATACTTTTGCTCTTGACTGTGTTAGTTCAAAGTGGATTGATTCTATTTTACTCATTAAAGAATGATTCTGTGTGACCAAACAAGCATTTTGTTGCCTAAGTTTATCAAGTTTTTCTCGCAGACTTTTAATTTCCTGATCCATAGGAGCAGATACCTGAAAAATAAAAAACAGCAATCCATTTTCAATTATTTAAGGGTAAATACTGGGAAAATGATACATAATTATTAAAATGATCTATAAGCTCAGGAAAATAAGTTAAATTATTTACTGAGTACTAACAAAAACATGAGAAAATCAGTATTCTATCCCATTGCTGGTGGAAGTATACACTTGGAAAATAGTGGTATCCTTTGTTAAACTGCTGCATCTTATCCATTAAAGGTAAATGTTTTAAAAGCAACAATATCATAACTAGATATAAACATGATAGAAACTTTTGTATTTGAGGGTATACAAATATTTATAACTACACTGTTCATAAGACACAATAAATAGAAGGAATCTAACCCCCTTTCCTTAATATAGACAGATTCATTAATCCCTGGTAAGAGATCAAACCCAGGGGCATTCTACTTCTGAGCTTCATCTCTATCCCTTTTTATTTTTTAGTTTGTGACAGTCTTACTGAGTTTCCCAGACAAGACTCAAACTTGTGATTCTCCTGCCTCAGCCTCCCTTAGTGTAGGATTACAAGCATACATCACTACACCAAACTTATATATACATTTCTACAGTACTCTTTTTTTATGTATGGTGTTGAGGATAGAACCCAGGACCTCACACAGCGCTAGGTAAGTGCTCTATTACTGAGCTACATTCCCAGCCCTTTTAATATTTTTTATTTTGAAACATGGTCTGCTAAATTACCCAGGCCTCAAAATTGTCACTCTCCTTTTTCAGTCTTCTCAATCCCTGAGTTACAGGCATTGGCCACCATACTCAACAATTACATAAATATATACATATATGCATATATGTAAAACAATAAATTCTTTTGCATGGTTTGTAATTTTTATAACATTAAATTTATTTTTTGAGTAATGTATTTATGTAATTCAGAAGTCAAAACTAGCTGATTAGGGTGGTGTATACCTGTAAGCCTAGTGTCTGGTTGTAGCAAGTGTGAGGACAGGCTAAACTACACAGGGAGTTCAAGGCCAGCCTGAATGACATAGTAAAACTCTGTCTCAAAAAAACCAAAAAGAAGAAAAAAATGAAGTCAAAACTATATAAAGAAAAAGTATACATAGAAATTGATAGGGTCCTGCTCAGGATTTGCCCAGTCACCATGGCAGCAGTGTAATGTTAAATCATCATGGTGCTTAGCTCCTTCTTCCCAGAAGCCCCTATGGCTTCTTCCTCCCAAAAGTCTTTGCCAAAGCTCATGTATGTAAGATTTACCCAATCTACTGCAGTCTCACAAAATAAATTAGCTTACATCAGTCCCCAAAGCCATTCCTCTATCAGAGAGCCTATATAAGGCAAAACCCACCCTTTGTCTGCAGAGAGCACAGTCTTCACCACAGTCTTCTTTGTGGTGACTCCCCCTGTTCCCACATCAAATTCTTATCTAGTTGCCTCCTCTCTTTTAATATTCTGTGCTGCTGTAGATTGAGTACAAAGTTTCAACTCAATCAGAAATCTCCTGCCCATTTTTACTAGGTCAGTAATCATTTTTATAACTCTTTATTTAGTCCTCTAGTGACTCTCTATGTATACATAAGCAATTACTGACTTCTCTTGCCTCTTTATGTAAAAACTAGCATATTATAAATATGATATTCTCTACCATGTACTTGAAAAATATATACTGGCAATTTCTCCAATATCAATTCATGGGGAAACTCAATACCCCCTCCCAACTACATAGTTTCCATTGCATGAATGAATCATACAGTTTATTCAGTCAATCATGTACTACTGAATCATGTACTCCACAATCATGGAGCTATTTCTAATCTTTTCTTATGACCGTCAATGCCTTGTGATCCTACCAACAAATATTGGTACACCTTTCCAATATTAACACAAAGATAGTGTGATATATATATATATATATATATATATAAAAATAAAATGCATGTTTAACAATCTGATAGTAAGAACTAGTACTAAGTATTTTCATTTTAGATTTCTCTTATTATAGATAAAATTGAACACCTTTCCATTTGTTTGAAGATCATTTTCATTTCTTTTTCCATTCGTGTCTTTTTATCTGTTGCATTATTTTTTCTCCTATCTACCTACCTCTTTATATACTTGCAATTAGCTTTTGTCTTCAATATGCATTACCAATATTTTTCGCTTCATTTTATGATCTTTTAATTTTATTTGTGGTAAAACATAGTGATTGTACAATACAATCACTGAAAAAAACATAGTGCATGTACAATAAGAATAATCAGTAATTTGAATTTGGATATGGATCAAAGGTTCCAGAATTACATACTCTTTTTTTTGTGTGTGTGTGTTTTCTTTTTTATCAGTACCAGGGATCAAACTCACGACCACACACTTACAGGGCAAGGCAGGTGCTTATGTCGCTGAGCTAAATCCCTAGCCCCCAAGAATTACATACTCTTGGTAAACACGAAATTTAAAATTTTCTAAAATGTAAGCTCAAATAGCTTCATTTAGGGGCAACCTTAAAAAAGAAAATCTCTCAATCATTGGCTTTCAGAAGCAAACTTGCATCAAAAAATATGATGCACATATGCAACCATATCTATTGTGTATGTGAACTTTGGGGACAGGAAAATACAGAACAACAACAGCCACGTGTGGTGACACATGTATGTAATCCCAGTACTTAAAAGGTTGAGGCAGGAGAATCTTGAGATCAAAGACCACCTACACTACATAGTGATTTCAAGGTTAGCCTGGACTACAAAGCAAGACTGTCACACAAAGATAGATAGATATAGACAGATAGATAGAAAACAAAAAGAGAAAAGGAAATAGGAAGAGAAAGGCAAGAGGTGAGTAAGGAAAAGAGATAAACGGAGGAAAACAGATAAAATGACACAATAAGAAGGAAAGAGTTCCAGAATAGGAAGAGATCTCTAAAATCATTGACAACCTTAGAGGTAATGAAAAAGGCTAGTCCCATGCTATCACACAGCAGCTGACTTAAGCTAAATGATGGATATACTTTGTTTAATAATTGATCACCTACTATTTTTGGAGCATAATGCTAAAATCAGGGGATTTTAGATTACTTGAGAAAAGGATATTTAACTGCAAAATGACAATAAATACAGAACTTTAAAAACAGAATAATTGTTCCTCATTGGCTGCCTGAAGATTGCTGCCATCATGAATGATAAGGTTAACTATCAAGATCAGGAAGTTCATATCCAACAACTGACTACTTTATGGTTTTTTTTGTACCAGGGATCAAACTCAGGACTTTTTGCTTGCCAGGCAGGCACTTACACTGCTGAGCTACATCCCTGGCTCCAACTTAAAGGAAATAAATGGTCATTATTGTCTTTCACTCTGGGAAAGCAACAATACCTAAGAAATTCAGGAAAACCTTGAAAAATGTAAAAGACCACAGCAGATGTCACTTTTGGTTTTGTTTTGTTTTGTTGGACTGGGGACTGAACTCACAACCATGCACTTGCAAGGCAGGTGCTTAAGTCAGTGAGCTAAATTCTGGGCCAGATGTCATTTTTGTATTTGGATTCAGAATCCATTTTGGTGGTGGCAGGAAATTGGCTTTGGCAGTATTTATGGTTTCTTGGGTTATACAAAGAAAAATGAACCCAAACATAAATTTCTAAGATATAGCCTATATAAGAAGAAATAGACCTCAAGAAAGCAGCAAAAGGAATGTAGGAACAGAGTGAAGTAAGTCAGGGGTCTGCAAAGGCCAATGCTGGTACAGCCAAAAAGCCAAAAGAGTAAAGATTCTGCAATATCTGTCCGCAGTGATTATGCAAGTTTTTCACGAGAGAATAAATAAACTAAATAAAGACCTAAAACACAAAACAAAACATCATATGCCAGGTATGGTGGTGCATGCCTGTAATTTCAGCATGGGAGACCAAGGCAGGAGAATCACCAGGAGCTTAAGACCAGCCTGCACTACATAGTGAGAGCCTATATGAAAACAAAACAAAGTAACAATAATAAAAAAAAACAAGATAACTATATTCTTGTTAAGAAATGAAAAGAAAAATTACATTTTAGTTCTTGAACAATACAGTAAAAGACCAGAAAACATGAATTAGGCATGTAGAGGAAAACTCAATTAAAAAAAAAAAAAAACAAAAAAACCTTAAGTAGACCAGTCTAAAACTATTTTAAATTAAATAAATCTAAAAACAATAACCTTATCTTTTGCCTTTTTCTGAAAATCAGAGCTGCTAGTGGACGTTTTACAAATGTTTTTATAAGATGAGTAATTCAAAAGTTCCCGGTGGGTAGGTTGAATAAGATCTTCCAAAATAAGTTTTTCAAACCTTGAGGGGTTAGAGGCAAAATCAGAATATTCACTTGGACTAGCACTAGAGAAAAAAGAAAGGAAAAAGAAAATTTTAGCTTTTAGTTCATTCACTACAAATTTCTATATATTAAATAAGAAAATAGAAAAAATGATGCTCACAATTAGACCCATAGTTATGAGCATAAATAACCATAGTTTTGTTTTGTTTTTTTTTGTTGTTATTGTTTTTTGCTTTTGGTTTAGGCTTGCTTTGAATTCACAGTGCAGACCAGGCTGGCCCTGAACTCACAGCAATATTCCTGCCTCAGCTTCCCAACTACTGGGATTACAGGTATGTGCCACCATGCCTATGGTAATAAACAATAGTTTTAAACTACCAATCTGTGTATTTCCTGAGCCTTTATGGTAGCATTACTTAGGATTCTAAAAGTAGTCATAACAAAAAATGATTAATAAAGTCTTAAATGCATATTTTATACTGATTCCTATACATTAAGGGTATTTTCTTAATATGTAAGTGGCTCTTTGATATTCTCATTTTTAAAAAATGAGTGTTACATTAAAAGAATGGAAAATTGACAGGGCATGGTATCACATGCCTATAATCTTAGGTACTCCAGCAGCTAATACAAGAGGATACTTAGTTCAAGAATAACCTGTGTAATTTAGCTTGACCTTGTCTCAAAATACAAATAAATAGGCTGGTGATGTAGCTCAGTGGTTTCATGGTTTAAATATAGTGTCTCCAAAGACTTCTATGTTTAAAGGCTTGATTGCAATGCTGTAATATTCAGAGGTAAGGCACAGAGCAATAACTAGATCATGAGGGCTCCTAATAGTCCTATTAGGAGGTAGGGCCCAGTTGAAGGAAGTCACTCCTATTGTGCCTCTAAAGGATAAATTTTTTTCTAGCCCCTTAAACTAGCTCTTGTTCTCTTGTCTCAGATTCTAGGCTACCATGAGGTAAGCAGCCATTCTCTACCATGCCCTCTTCCCATGTTTCTGCCTTGGACCTAGCAGACTTTTGAAACCATGAGCCAAAATAAGTTTTTCTCCTTTAAGTTGTCTATGTCAAGTATTTGGTCATAGCGAGACTAATAGCCTTGGTTTAATCCCCAGTACCACACAAATGTAAAAATAAAAAATATAATAAACTGTACCTTATTTCAGAAGAATATAAAAACATAATATTAAATCTAAACATTTTAAATTCGTAAGTCACATTATGAATTCTATATGTAATTTTACTTACCTGGATAACTCTTGCCCTAAATTCTTCAAACTCCATTCTGTTTTTTTCAGTTCATGTCTTAATGATGCAACATTTGCAAGCAAACTTTCTTCTTCATTGTCTTTATTATAATAGTCTGATGAACGTGATTCCATTTCTTTAAAAAATTTCTTCTATCTCCCTGAGAGATTCTGTAATATAGTCAAAATATTCTCACAGTAATAAAATTTAATTCACTATTTTTCTATTTCATATGTGACAACTTTTGTGGTAGTTAAAACAAAAAAAAAAAATCAATTTCAGTAAGATGTTTTCTGTTTTTGTTTTTCCAGTTCTAGGGATTGAACACAGGATATATCGCTGAGGTACCCCCCAACCTTTTTTTTTTGACAGGATCTCACTAAGTTGCTCAGGATGGCCTCAAACTTATGACATACCTCAGTCTTCTGGGTAGCTTGAAGGAGCTGCAATTATAGACATGTACTATTCACAATGGTTGTAAAATTTAAAACACTCATATATACAGTCATAAGTCATAACCAGAGAGCAAAATGACATTTAGTAATTCGACTGTAGAAGTCTATATGAAGCTTTTGTTTCTTAAGCTGATGAGCATCTCTAGGATTATGAAATTACTAAATTACTTTGCACATAAAAATCATGTTAGGGGTCATTTCATTATTATAATTATAACAATAACGAACTAAATCTTTAAGAAACTCTGATATTCCTACAAATCTTCCTGAATAATCTTACTACTTCATTTCTCATTCCTGCCTTAAAACTCAAATCACTGCCTAAGCTCCAAAAAATCCAGAAGTTCTGTCTGTGTCTGTGTTAAGGATGGTAATGTACTTAAAAAACTCAGTATTTTCAATGAATAAATGATAAATAAGAAAATGCCTTTTCTCCCTTCATCTGGTAGAGATAGTATGCTACATTTATTTTCTTTGCAACATTTCCCAAATAGGATTTAATAGTAAAACAAAAACAAAAACAAAAAACCTTGCCTTATTAGAAAAAGCTGTAGCAGGAAATTAAATGAGATGCTTTGTAATAGACTGTTTTATCCTTTTCCTCCTTTGTTCATACAAATTTGCTTCAGTTTAAATGAGAAGACTCCCAGATAAAAGTCAATGGATCAGCTCCCTATCCTGCTCTATTCAACATCTTTAGCTCCTTACTAGAGCTAAAGAACACTGTAATTGTACATAACTTCAAATGTTCAGTACTGTATTTCATCTAGATGAGATTTTTTTCGTTCAACATCTGTGTATTTTCATGTAAGAATTTTCGAACTCTTCTGAAGTACCAGTGAATACATTCCATATTCAACTATTTACTGTCAAGGGTGCTCTTCATTGCAGTTTTCCGTTGTTACAAAAAAAGCCTATCTTGGGCAGGAATGACGAGAATCCTAGCATCTCTGGGCGACTGAGGCAGGAAGATAGCACATTCTAGTCCAGCCAAGGCAATTCAGTGACTCGTGCTAAGGTCCTGGGTTCAATCCCCAGCCCTTGGGGCGGGTGTATGGGGTGGGCATTCTCTGCTCGTACAGATGTGAAAAAGCACGTGGTCTACCTGACGTCATCTTTCGTCTACCTGACGTCATCTTTTAGCCCGCATCAATAATGTACAGACGCATACCTACCCCTCCAAGGGCCGGCACAGTATTCTTTACGTCCCCAGTAATGTGACAGGATCTGTTATAGCCGAAAAAGATTCCCCATACAGCACAGTCGACCTTACAGCCATTTTAAAAGAGTTGGAGCAAAAACAACCTCCTCTCGGATTTTTCGTCAATACAATACAACCCTGTACGGCCGTACGTACACTCAGCATCAGCCAGGACCGAGCTGAACAGTGAAAGGCACCTCAGCGAAAGAGAGAAAACTCCCGAAAGTGTGCCGGTTTCCACCCGCCCAGGGCATTCGCTCACCACCAAGCCGCAGCTGGGGAGAGACCCACCAGACGACGACGCACGGCTGCGTTGGGACCCTGTCCCGAGCCACGGTGTGGAAGTCTCAGACTCACTAGGATGGAGACCGAGCGAACGCCGACCGCGCAGAGTTCGAACCGCCGCGGGAGCCGTTAGGTCGCACCTCCCCGGCCGCAGCCCCGCCCCTGCGCGGCTTCGCGTGACGCCAGCGCGCGAAGCTTGCCGGGACCGTGGCCGCTGGGCGCTGTGGAGCCGGCTTGCCGACCTGGCCCAGCTTGCCTAGGACTACATTTCCCATAAGCATTAGTGTAAGAGAAGCCTTGGGAAACTGCGGCCGCGAGAGTGTGAGGAAGCCTTCACTTAGAAGGGTGCGGAAAGGGACATGGCCCCGCCTTCAGCCTTTACCCTGCGTGGGACATCACTTCCCCCTCAGAAGGAACGTTGGTCGTGCCGGTGCTGCGGCCGCCGCTGGAAGTTTTTCAGAGTCAAGGTTCCCCTGCCGCGAGGAGTCTAGCAAGAAGAGCGGAGCCGAGGCACCGGTGTCCCACATCTCCCAGGCGGCTTTCAGCCAGATATCGCCCCGGCAGGAATGGGCTACGCGGTCTGGCTGCCCTTCCCCTTTCTCCTGCTGGTCGCTGTGAGGCTGCCCGGGACGACCAGCTTCACGCCTTCTTTAGACAGCGACTTTACCTTTACCCTTCCGGCCGGCCAGAAGGAGTGTTTCTACCAGCCCATGCCGCAGAAGGCCTCGCTGGAGATCGAGTACCAAGTAAGTGGGGAGCGTGAGCTGCCCCTTTCGTGGAGCCCAGCTGCACCTTGTCGCGCTGGCTGGGGAACTTTTCGACCGCCAGGGAAGTGAAGGGGCCAGGGCGCCGGGGGCAGCGGTCCTCGTTCGCGCAGGCGCACGCGTGAAGCGAGGTTCTCTGGCCTCCGAGCACCTGGGACCGAGAAGTTTGCCAGGCTCTAGAATTGACCACTGCCTGCCCTTTTCTCCTTTCGGAAAGAGGCCAGAACTGGTGCGGTCCGTGACTTTACTCTGTTTCTTAATTCACCCACCAATCCCTGTTCTACCCAGTCTTTGCTCCACTAGAGAATTTCACAATTCAGGACTGAAACACGTTCTTCTTTATTATTGGACGAAGTAATGACACTTTGTTGAGTCACCTCCATTACTTTCCCCCAATTCTGATATTATAAACCTTCACCATCTTTATTTCAGTTAAGAGTTTTTAATTGTGACTATGTGATTGTCACTCATTTCCATTTTCAAATATGTTGAAGGTAGGGGCTGGGGATTTAGCTCAGCGGCATAAGCGCCTGCCTTGCAAGTGTGCGGTTGTGATAAAAAAGAAAAAGACAAAAAAAAAAAATGTTGAAGGTGCGGTTGCCATTTTTATTGGTACTTTTCCTTCCTTGTTATAGATCCATTGTGTTGAAATAAAATATAATTACATCATATATTAAAACTTTGTAACCTTTATTTATCGGGCATTATCAGCATTTCCCCCTGTCGTTTTTTTGTTTTGTTTTGGTTTGGTTTTGGGGTTTTTTTTTTGAGACAGGGTCTCTATGCAGTTCAGGCTGGCCTTGAGCTCACTTTGTAGCCTACGCTGGTCTGGAACTCGCAGTAATCCTCCTGCCTCAGCTTCCTGAGTGCTGGGATTACAGGCCTGGTTCCCCATAACCCCATTTAGAAAATACTAGCTCCATACTGTTATTGTCGACCTAGCACTACAAAAAAAAAAAAAAAAAAAAAAAACAAAAAAAAAAACGCATGTTGAGGTGTTTTATATTTTTTCCCAGTAACTTTGTAATCAGATGTTCATGTTTTGAAGTTAGTGTAAAGAATTTCTTTTGAAATACTGGGTACTATTATATAGAGAGCAAAATTTAAAGTTACGTAGACTGTTTATCCAAAGGAACTGTAGAATTAGATTATAGATGCATAAGGTAAGCAGCAAAAGTGAAATATCTACAAATGTCATAGTGAGCAAATCTGAGGTTAGAACTTAACATACCTTTTTTTTTTTTCTTTTAGAACTTACCATTTCTTGATTTTTAGGAGTGTTCAGAAGCTCAGCGTTTAATTAAGGACAGTGTGGAAAGAGCCCTTATTGACCTGGGATAACCTACCGGAGATAACCTGCCTTGTTATCTCAGACAGGGACTGGGATGAAGGAGGTGTTAAACTACTGAGCGATTAATTTGTGCCTGAGATTGTTGCAGGGAAGGGGGAGGATGCATGAAAAAGAAATAGACCTTGTTCTCAAAGAAACTTAAGAGTTACTGATGCAGGGCTGAGGATTTAGCTCAGTGCTGTAAGTGCCTGCCTGGCAAGCACAAGGTTGTGAGTTTGATCCCTGTTACCTCCAAAAAAACGTTACTGATTGATAAACATAATTTGAATAAAATAATTGAAATTTATTGAAAAATAATTCAGTCTTATTGAAACAATTTCAATAAAATATGCTTAAGTGCTGTTAGAGGATGGCCCCTTCTGGGTGTCATAAGAGTCCCAAAGAAAAGAAAATTAAATCTGAAAAGACGCTTGTGTGAGACAGAAATGCAAGAAATGAGGGATATGTCAGGAAAAGGAACAAAACGAATAGACACATAATTCTGAAAATATGTAATATTTAGGTATAAACAGGTATATAGTGTATAGGTACTCAGTATAAAATTAGATTTGTTTATTTGATTTTTGAGACACTGTCTTGCTTTGTAATTCAGCCTGGCCTTGAATTCATTATGCAGTCCGGGCTGGCTTGGATTGTCAGCAGTCCTCTTGCCTCAGCTTCCTACTCCTAAGACACCCATCATCAATTTTTAAGTCTGTAACAAATGTTTAAGTCTATAGGAGTAACAGAAAAGGAAATTGGAAAGCCCCAAAGACTTGGTCATCTTAGGCATCCAGATGGATGCCATTTAAGATTGAAGCAGATTGCTCAGTAGAGTGTAAAGGTAGTTTTGTTTATTCTTTTTGTTTGTTTGTTATTTGAGACAGGATCTTCCTGTATAGTCCAGGCTAGCCTTGAACTTGCAATTCTCCTGCTTCAGCCTCTAGAATGCTAGGATTCTATGTGTATGCCAAAATGATGGGCATTGAAAGATAATTTAATGAGATCAAACTTGCAGACAAGGAAACCACCTAAAGATTTAGTGAAATCATCTAGATAAGAAAACATTTTGTATTCATCAAAAATATGTGGGTGTACCCACATATTAGAGAAGGAATTTGTTTTTTAACAATTGATCTCTTGGCTCAGAATTCTGACTTACTGCTTAGAACTTGTCTGATCTTGAACAAGTTACTTAGCTTCTTACTTGTAGAGTTAATAGTAATTACCTCATGAGGTCTGTTTGAAATAGAGAGTTAATAGATGGTCAGAGACCATTCCTGATACATAGATATTCAATGGATATAAGATACACATTTGTATCTCTGCGTTATACAGCATACTTTTTTTTTTCATTTCACCTAAACATTTTATATATAGCATACTTTAACCTAAGTATTTTTTTTATTAGTACACGTTTGCAGTACATAATGACCCCATTCTATGTGGGGAATTGGTACACGTGTATAATACATCTTAATTCTGTTTTTGTAATCGCCTTCCCCTCTTCCTTGTTCCATCTCTCTGACCTCTTCCTATATACAATCTATCTCACTATTTCCTATTATCTACCATTCATTTTGTTCTTGATTTATATTTTGTGTTTCTCATATAAATCTTTAAATATTTAAGTTTGTATGTGATTTATTTTACCTTTTAATAATCTCAAAATACCTACATTTTCCTATGGATGACTCAAATTTATCCTTCTTTATAGCAGAGTAGTATTCTGTGGTATATAAATATGCTTTGTAATCCATTCATCTGTCAGTAGATATTAGGCCACCACCAAGATTTAGCTATTATGGGGCTGGGGATTTAGCTCAGCAGCATAAGCAATTGCCTTGCAAGCAGGCGGTCATGAGTTCGATCCCCAGTACCGATTAAAAAAAAAAAAAGATTTAGCTATTATGACTTGTGCTTTTGTCAACATGTATGTATGCATCACTAAAATATGATGTCTTTAACACTTTCAAGAAGATACCTAAAGAAGCATAGCTGGATCAAGTGGAATTTCTTATTTTAGTTTTTTGAGGAATCTCTACACTGATTTCCAAAATGGTTGTACTAGTTTACATTCCCACCAATAATGTAGAAAGTGCCCCCAACCTCATCAGTATTTGTAGTTATCTGATTTCTTGATGATAGCCATTCTTTATGGAGTAAATTGACATTTCTGTTGTTTAGATTTGTGTTTCTCTAATGGCCAGATGTTGAATACTTTTCTATGTATTATATTTTTGGTCATTTGTACTTCATCTTTTAATAAGTGTCCTCTTTCAGTTGCCTACTTTTTTGATTCATCTTTTATTACATACATATATATCTTTTTCTTTGTTTCTTTGTCTGAATCAAACTCACAATCTCATACTTGCCAGGCAGGTATTGTGCCACTGAGCTCTATCTCTGGCCCCTCAACTTTTATTTGAGAGAAGTCTGATGTTTTAAAGTTCTTGTAGATTCTAAACATTAGTCTTCTGTCCAAATAACTAGCAAAAATTTACTCCAATCCTATAGAGTTGTGTCTTTTCTCTGTTGGTTGTTTCCTTTGCTGTGCAGAGCTTTTTAATTTTGTATGATCCCAGGCTGCTTTACCTTTATACTTTTCATCTTTAGTCACACTTAAGTGATTTTTTTGTTCCTTAAAAGCATTGTTCCTACATTTGTCTTGATTAGAGAGAAATAAAGTTATGTCATTTTGTATCTTTAATCTTAATTGGAGGCACTTGTAGGATGATGATCATTTTCAACACTTTGTTTACATTCTCTAATCTTGTGATTAAATTTTCTATGACTGCTTGTATTAAAGTTAGTGAAGCGGAGAAAAATGTTTCTGCTACCTCCTGAATTTACACCAAAATGAAAAGACAATACGCAGATCAATAGGAGAAAAAGTTAAACAAATTTATGTGCTCATAGTTTTACATAACACAAGAGCCTTCAGAGTAGTCTTAAGACTGACCCACAGAGAGTACTGTCCGTATTTTGACTTATGTTTAATGAAGTATGACCCTGTAGAAATACAATTGAACAAAATAGGAACAATCTCATAAAAATAGATGGAAAGGGAAAACCCACCAAGGTGTCTCTTGACAAGAGGCCAAGATTGTTCTTGGCCTTTATGCCTCATTTCTTCTTTCTGGGGATTGAGCAGGATGCTTTCTAGACCGGGGGTCTTATGATCAATAATCCAGTGAAATATATCAGAGAATTTCTTTACAGATAACTTACATGGAAGACAGGAGAAAATTATAGTAACAATTATTTTTTATGTTTAATTTTAGAGAAAGGAGGTTCTGGTTTCCATGAATCACTTTGGGTAAGAAGAATTCTAATTTGTATAGCTTGCCTAAGAAACAGGAGGACAAGAGACAGAGGAACACTTTGTATCTGAGGTGTTTATTATTCAGTATCATTTTATGAGTTCTAACATTAATTTTTACAATGTTAATGAACAAATTTTAACATTACCCTTCATTGGGGAAGCTGAAATCTGAACCATGTTTTCAGGAGATGGTGTTATTTAAGTAAACTCTAGAAATGGGAATTGTGTAATGCTAGAGCCAAGGAAATCTGGTGCTATCTGTGTGTGATAAACTGAGAAAAGAAGAACCCCAGAAAGGGGTTCCCAGAAGGATCATGACTCTAAAAC